CTATACTTCCCAGGCCCTCAAGATGCTGGTGGACGCTCGTAGACGCTGGCGAACTCTGGGAGACGCTGATGCACGCTGACAGACGCTGGGAAACATCAGATCGATATCTATACTTTCCCAGTCGCTGACGCTTGCGGACGCTCGAAACGCTAGTGGATCCTGTCGCAAAGGTTTTCGAGGGATCGAGGAACAGCAGGCGTGGATCAGTTACTTAACTACGAATGTTTTTCAAGGAGAAGCTCAGCTGTCAGTCTAAGGGGCAGAATCTGTTTCAGAAGGTAACCCAGTCCGCAATCTCGGAGCTTGCACCATTTTCGCGGCCTAATTGAGCAAAATGAGCAGCTAGGGGGGTATGAGACTATTGCACCATTCTGACCACATCCAGTAGTTGATGACGCTAACCATCGATGAAAGGCGTCGCTTCTATCTACATGAAGCTTTTGTTTCGTTTGTAGGTATTCTCTCTTCCTTCGTCTCTGCATCCCTCTTCCACGCTCGCACTGTCTCTTCACCTCTCGTTTGTGCAATGCCGCAAATTGCGTCAAAGCGTCAGCTGGCGGTTTGAGGGTTTTTTCTGGTTTTTGTTTCAATTAGCATCTGCGTTGTCATATCTTAACCCACCACCCGTTGCTGTTTCGGAACGTATCAGCAAGCCAAGCCACTCGATTCTATAAGGGTCTTAGTAAACGTCAATAGCAGCGGGCGTCCCAAAGCCGTCTTGGCAGTGGTCGGATTTGGAGCTCCTGAAAGTGATGAATGTGACCAGTCCCACCTAAAAATCGCATTGTTAAATGCATCATCGCCTTCCTTGAAGCAGAGTCGTTGGAAACAAGCTCTGAACACGGCAGGGGCTCTTAAAGCTTTTGTAAGTGCCCCATGTATCAGCAAATTTTCTTTTTTATTGCAGTTCGCTCCTCGGGTGGGAGAAATGTACAGCCAGTTCTAGCAACCAGACCATCCAGTGCGAAACCAACTCCAACTCAAGCACCACCACCCGGTGGAAGAAGACTATCTGGCGAGAAGGCACCGTCTCAAAAAGGTCTGTCCGGGGAGAAGGGACCGTCACGAGGATCTGGCGAGAAGGCACCATCTCAAGGATCCGGCGAGTCGGCATCATTTCAAGGAAGACAATCTGGCGCGGCACCACCACCCGGTGGAAGAAGACTATCTGGCGAGAAGGCACCATCTTCAAAAAGTCTATCCGGCGAGTCGAGATCGTTCCAAGGAGTGCCATCACGTGGGACACCACCGCCAAACAGGAGATCATCATCTGGTGCAACACCGCAACAGCAGCGGAGACCATCCAGCTCGAAGCCAACACCTCCTCCAGCAAGTAGGCAGGGTGGCGCAAGACCAACTCCACAGCGACAGGGGAGAGGATCCAGCCGAGGAAGGAACAGCCAGGTAGACATGACTCAATTATACGTAGTTAAAACATACTTCCGTGCCACGGTACTGTATTGCAGGTCAGTCACGACTGTTCAAAAACCGTCGAGTAAGGAGGGCATGGTCACTCCTGGTAAGCACACGATTTTACAACACTTTTCGCATGAAAAAATGCAAGTGATGATTCCATTGCAGCCCGTTCCGCTGAGAGTAGAGGAACAAGTGCGGCACGAACCCCAACGCCAAGTAAGTAGTCAGCTGTTTTTTCACTGGATGAGGGAGAGAAGCAGATTATTTACGGTATGAGGGTCTGACTTAACCCAAAGGCAACAAAATCCGAAGGTCCGCGAACCAGCATCATCTTTAGGCGCAGCGTCGTGGCGGTCAGCGCGGTCCAGTTGATTCTGCCATTGGCGTTGGAGCGCATTAGTCGTCGTTTTTGTCTCCTCATCACTGAAGTTCATGCCAAAATCGGTTTCTCGCACTCTTCTTCCATCCCTGCTAGCTTAATGGTGCGGACCCAAGCGATCGCTTTTTTCCCCGAACTGCAAGATCGATGTGCTATTAATCTCCTTTGCACGCTGAATGGATAACTCTAACGGAGGTTTAATGCAGCCGAGTCAAGAAACTTAGAGACACAGAACCACTCCGCACAGTAAGCGGAGACGCATTTAGCGCACTACTCGAAAAAATTGTGCCTCTGAGTGATGGAAATAATTTGGAAAATAAGTACATATAATGAAGGTAGCTGCGGACGGTCGGGCGTGTCGGCGGGATAAGTTTGGCGCGGTGCCAAAACCTTCTTTACCAACTTTGAAGCGACCAATTGATATGACTGTATCATATCGTTCGTATTACTCGTTTTCTACCACTTTTTGTCGCATGCGCGCTTCAACAAGAAGGCAGAGAACGGCTTTGACGGCGTGACACACTCATACTGCCTGACACGCCCAACCGTCCGCAGCGAACTAGAGTCTAGAAATGGCGAGATCTTGTGGAAGAGGATAGGCTGAAAAAGTTGTAGTTCATAGAAGACATTTGGGGGGGGGGGGAACTGCATACGAGATCAAATTTAGGATGACCTGACTGAAAGTACCCCAGTAAGGATTCAATTCAGCTCAACCAACGATTCATATTTCAGTGCGAAAGTGCCAGTGCCCTTACCATTGCCTCGACACAAAGAAGAAATCTCCTTCTTTCGCTGTCGGTATGCTCATCCTTACTTTCTTGGTCATAAGATTTATTGCTGGAAACTTGCAATAAATAGCGAGACTATTCGCTGTACGGTCTCTGTGTTAGCGGTGTATCCGACACAAAAGTAAATATTGAAGGGCGACTTATTGGAGAAGGAACTGAATAATAAAATTATCAATCAAGGCACGTCGTACTTCTGAGATCCTTATCCAATTCGCCGAATTGAAGTCCATTGGGAGTGGGTGGTATGAAACCTCACCGAGTAGGGTCTTATGCCACACACCTATCTATCTCTCCACACGGCGGCGGTTTTCCGGGGAAAGAGCGGAGGAATTTCTGGGAAAGAGGAAAGAAGTTGAAAAAATTAAGAATTCCGGAAGATGGTAGGTAGTGTTGAAGGCACTAGAGAAGGAACTTCTCAAGAGGAGTAGTGTCGTATTTTGAAAAACTTTCGGCAAACTTTCGCAACGGCAGGAGTGTCCTTTTGTCAAAAGATGTGAAGTGTGAATCCCAGTCGCGGCATCGCAGTACGAATGACTTGGGATACACAGGTGGTGGGGGCAAAAAAAAGACACTTCGGTCGAGTCACATATCAGCAAAGTTTTCGCAGCCCAGACAGAAGACGTGGATAGTTTTCGCAGCCCAGACAGAGGACGTGGATACGAGTACCAGGGCGGAAGATACCCAAGATGTTCCTCGATAAGCAGGAGCAGGCTCTCGTCCATCACCTTCATGTACACCAAAATATGAAGTCATCTCCAATCGCAGCCGAACTGAAGAAGGCCTATGGAATTCACGTCACCTCCAAACAGCTGCGAAACTTCTTGTATGGAGTCACCCATGGACAGCTACCTGGAGACCGGCACTCTTGATCTGGAAGACCTCCAACATCGAGCAGCTCCGACAACGTCGCTACGGTCCAGGATATCATCTTCACCGCAGTCGCCAAGGCGCGGGTTGGTGGTATGGACCGGAAGTTCCTGGAATGGGAAGAGAGATATTTTCTTCGTGGACCCCGGACTAAGAGTAGAAGCTACACGCTAGGGTTACATCGACCAACTGGAGGAGAACATCCTTCCTTCATGTTGTCGTCTGTACCGTCTTGGAAACTTCTTACTGCCCCAGGATTGGGCGCCAGCTTGTGGAATCGAAGGCGTTGGAAAACTCTCGCCTTGCTTGGAATCGAAGGGCGTTGAGTACCTGAAGAAGACGGAATATCCAAGTGTGTCACCTGACCTAAACCCCTCAATTACGGGTTCGGGCGGAGCTCAACAGGGTGGTCTACAGTGGCGGAGAAATCAACGATCTCGCTGAACTCAGGCACCGAATCACGGTCGCGTGGCAGAATCTCTCGATGGCGGAAGGCTGTGGCGGAGTATCATGATAGTATACAATATGCTGTTGAATATGGTGGTGGAAATGTCCAATCAGAATTCAATAAAGTGTAACTTATAGCGCCTTGAAAGTCGAGGAAGAAAAGTGTCTTTTTTGCCCCCCTTTATATCACCAAAACTGAAGAGCAGCACATGGCCTCTGTGCCACAGCGAGAGGCCTTTTTCGTGACAAGTACGATATCTGAGAGAGGCAAATTTTCGCCTAGAACACAGTAAACTCGTGATAACATATCGATACCTATATAGGATTGTCAACCGGAAAACTGTTGGGTAACAACAGTACATTTCGGCAGCAAACGACGAGTTATAAGAAGCCTCAGTGGTGGTTGTAGCTGGGTCTGG